ACAAAGTATAAGGTTCCATAACGCCGAACTACAAAATATTGACAATGTAAACGGTTCCAAAACGCAGCCGAAAAGTTATCGAAACGCATCGCTCGAGCAATCAGCGCATCAGAAACAAAGTTGATGCTAATAGCTCTGATCCAGTACTCCATGAACTTACAGGTTTTTACACGAACTTACAGGAAGTTACAGGAAAAATGATCCCGTACTCCAAAATCCTGTAAATGAGAGCGATTTTTGGAGAGTTTACCCGAACTTTTTCTCCTGGTAAAATCGTGAAAAGTGTCAAGTGAACACTGGTTGACGTTTTTACAGGAAAAATGCTTTTTTTGTTCCCGTACTTTTTGTTGTTACTCACTTTTTACTCTCACTTCAGAGAGTAATTTTGCTGTTTGACATTTTTACAGGATTTTGCACGAAAAGTATTGGATCAGTGCTAAAGTGTCGCAACTACATATGCATATACAAACAGTTTGAATACCGCAGTATAACAGTTTCCAAACATTGTTTTGATACGTTTTGGAAGTCAGCCTATCATTTACCACCCGCTAACCGACGTCCATTTCAACTCTTTTTCCGTAAAATATGTTTTCTGGCGATATTTGTAGTAAATCAAAATGTGTCAAATACAAATATTTCGACTACAATGCTATTATCGAGTCTATTTCTTAGTCCCCCAGTAGCCCATAATATGTTTGACTCCAGCGCTACGCGGCTAATGCATTTTTGTAGAAATTGCTGTTCCAACTTCGTCAAAATACATAATTCATAATTAATAAAATATAGCTAGCTTTGAGTTTTTTTGAAATTACCGTTACGTGAAACCGGCTGTGCAAGTTCATAATCAATAATTAAAGGTTTGCTCATAGAATTCAATCACACTTCCTAAAATGGTAGCTAAATTCCACATACAGGTATGGATAAAATAGTGCATGGTAGTATTTTAAAACAAACGCGAATTTGATTTGATCATTTCATTTAAACCAGCATATTTACATCGAATATAACGCCTGATTGTTATTAAAAATAAATATTTATATATATATATATACCAAAGTTGCGTAAGTCCGACGGCGCATAACTCAAGAATGGATGGTCCACTTTGAGCCATTTTTTTTTTTTTGTATTTGTTTGTCAGTTGTTGGATAAAAAAAGCTATTTGTTTGTGGAAAAATTATGGAATTTTGATTTTTAAAAAAAAAACAACAACAAATAAAAACATTTGAATCTTACGTCAACATTTCGTGTAAAGGCAAATTAGATTTGTTTCTGTACAAAGCAGATGCACGTACATACGAAATAGAAATGTTTATATTTTCATCTGAGTTTAGTTTATTTCGTTTTCAACGTATTTTTAATTAGTTAAATAAAGACTGTGAATTTGACAGACATACGCAATTACATATGTATTGAAAAAGTCACATTTATAGATGCAAATACATATCGTGTGCCAAGGCGAATTAATATTCGCCTTGTCGTGTGCAAAGCTTTTGTAAGGGAGTGTCAAAACTCTAATGTCAATAATGAGCAAACCAAGGCGAATTTATAGGTGCAATCCCGTATTCCTCGGACTCGGACTAGTAAAACTGTCAAAAAATAAAAATTCACTCAGAGCGAGAGAGTAACATTGAAAAGTACGGGATCGCTTTCTAGTAAAAAATGGTAACTTCTGTCAACTTCAACATAACCTCCAAATTTTGGTTGTAAATTTTTGCTTATTTTGTCTGTAAACGCACTCAGCTCACACATGTAAATAACCAAAAATACTTTCAAATTCATTAGAATCCACTTAAACAAGTAATTAAATACTTTTCAACATGAATTAGCAGAGTGCACTTTTCTTTTGTTTGCAATTTGGTTGCACACACTACAGCTGATCGTTTGACACATTTACCATAATTTACCAGCAAAAAATTCTAGGACTAAATCTGGTAACTTCTGACAGAGAGATAACCGTATTTACTCTCTTTTTTGTCCTCTCAATAGTCAGAGAACCGAGTACGGGATCGATTTCCAGTAAAATCTGACTGATTCTGACTATTTCCGACTAGTCCGGACTCGTACGGGATCGCAACTTATATAAGGTGGTGTTACTAGCTCAGCTGATTTTGTGTATGTGTTTCGCCGCACGGCTTCTGATATCAAATTGAAAAATCTTGTTTGAATTTCTACACACACTCTTACAGATTTTGACAGTTTATGCCTCCAAAGCAAAAACAAAATACATGTAAATTTTTGTTTTTGTACTCCTACTATCACCTTATATTAATTCGCCTTGGAGCAAACCTTTAATTATTGAATCGTGTTGATTATTGAGCTAAATTGTGATAATTGTTGATCAACTTCAAAGCGCAATAT